TCTATGGATGGTGCCAGGCTTGAGAGTGAGGCTGTAGCCGATACTAATATGTTGTATGTCACTGCTGACCAAGACTTAGCTTTTGCACTTCAAATGTCTGTGCAGGAGAATCCTAAAGATGCTCCGGACCCATCTGATATTAGCAAGGTTTTGGAGGACCAGTCTTTTGTTTCATCCATTCTCAACTCGCTGCCAGGTGTTGACCCTAACGACCCTTCTGTGAAGGATTTACTAGCATCATTATGAAGCCAAACAGAGCAAAAGAAGAATGAAGATAAATCTGAGAAAGAAGGTGAAAACTAGAAGGTCCGTAACGCGTATTACTTCGCTAGAATTCAGATCTCAGCTCAGCAGCTCTGATGGAAGACATGTCGAGTCTTTTTATGAAGACAAAGCCATTGTTTTTCAGTTACCCATCAATGGAAGTGTTTTTATTTTATTTATTGCAATACTTATTTAGTAAATCAGTTCATGGTGGTTGAAAAACTATACGAATTTATGCAGATTTAGGATGATTTCATTTATGTTTTTTTTTAAAAAAAAACAAAATTTGGAAGAACAATAACATTCTGAACGAACCAAAGTGAGCATTTGCCTTGCCACAAAAAAAAAAAAAAATGAATATATATATATAAATATATAATACATTTTTTATTATAAAAAGCCCAAGGGCTAATATATTAAAGAAGTAAAGATACAGATAGGTTGTATAAGATGAACTAAAAGAAGGTCCAACTCATACAATACAACACACAAAAAACAAAAGAAGCAAAAATATATAAAGATAAAAAATCAAAAATCCACAAAAAGGCGCAAAGGTGTTAGAGACATCCCACTTTAGTTCTTCCTCTGCCTCTAGTTCTCGGAGGAGAGTCAGCTAACAAATTGATAAGGTGCGTATTATTACCCGAAGTAACCAAAGTATCATCCATAAGACTCCTGAGCTCGAGTAGATCTCCATTCTTCTTCTTCCTCCTGGAAGTGTAAACATGTTATCCTTCATCCAAAGAATTAGTCTGGTGAGGTGGTAGAGCTGTAACAGAGTGTAAGACGTTGCACATCATGATCCCCTTAATTCTGAGTAACATTGACATCTTTCTGGACTTGATGAGGCAGAAGTAAAGCAGCAGAGGTATTTTCACCTATAATATCAGTGGGCGGAGTTTGAAGAATCTCCCTTGCTCATGCGGAGTTTGAAGAATCTTCCTCGCCTCCACGATAAGATGTTCCAAAGACGGAGGAGCTAAAGTAATGTGTGGAGATTGAATAGTTAATATACTGCTTGCGGGAATATTGATGTCTACAGGTGTATCTTTTTTATGATCGATAGTGTTAATAACTTCAAGCTGAGCAGGAGTTGGAATCGCTGCCTCTAGCGGAATACTTTGTTTTTTGGGTTTGAGGTGTGGATGTAGATGATGACATTGAAAACTGGAGTGGCCGAACATACGACAGTTCGAACAATACGAAGGAAAAGACTCCATCTCTACCTTCTGCTAATATCCATGATGTTGTGTGCCCAACCAAATTTGCTCAGAAGCGGAAGAAGTAATCTCTTCCAACAAGTACTCTAGCTTCAAATGTATGGAAAAGATTAAAAGTAGGAATTTCCGTCTTGAGTGGCTTACCATAAGTTGAGGCAATAAAATACAACACTTTTTGAGAAAAATAATGAAATTTCAAACCAGAAAGACAAATCTAAACTGGAATGATTGGCGGTTCCGTCTATGAGTCAAAATCCACAAACCATTTCAGAATCTTCATTGCTTTGTTATCAATCCAGATTATCTTTCTAGCAAATAAACGTGTGTAATCTTCTTCATTATTAATTTATATATATATATATATATATATATATATAAATATAATATGCAACTTAAAATGATCTAATTAGCAAAAACACCTCTTTGCTTATGCACTAATAGAAAAAGAATCCCAACATACAGCAGTGCATTTAATGCTTTGCAATACTTACTAAAATAGAACAAAAAATAGCTCAAATGCTCAACGACATTACATCAGAGAGGCTGGTACCAAAGTTTAAACAAACAAAAAGACAGCCTAAATATTTACTAAAAGCAAATAGGAGATTACAACTAAGCACACTGAAGGCAAAATAACAACAGACGATAGACAAACTCAAATTCGGGTCTGATCTTAGGATTGTGATGGTTGGCTAGGTCGATTGGAAGGAGGAAAAAGTGGTAGGAGACTGGAATGGTTGGATGGGTGTGGAAGGGAGAGAGTGGGTGGGGATTACAGAAAGTAAGAACTTCTTGGGGGCCGTTTTGGGGTGGCTGGTAATATAGGGTGGTTGGGAGTGTCCAGAGAATAGTAGGCTGGCTGTTCTGAGTGACAACAAAGGTGGGAATGAGGATGGCGGCAAGGGGGCAGCATGTAGGGACTGCAAAGACAGCATGATAAGAAGCAATCCACACGGCAGCAAGCCTGCATGATGGCTGGAATGACAGGATGGACTGCAGTTCTGGGCGGCGAAAGCCAAGGGGAAGGAGGCGGGAAGTGATGCAGAAGTGTTGGACAAGGCAGGGACAGCAACTCCTTGCAGTCCTGGAAGGAGGCAGCAATCAGATTAGAAGATAGCGCGGCTGGAGAGAAACTGCAGGAAGAAACAGCACGGAAAGCTGCTCCAGGCGGTTGCAGCGAGGAGGGAGGTGTGGCTGGGAAGGGGGAGGGGGGGGGGAGGGGTGGGGAAGGCAAACACACAAAAGAACTGAAAACCTCAACACAACAAAGAAAAATATATATGCCCTAGATAGCTAGAAGTGAACCCGTTCCACTTGGACGGAAGCCCCTGGGATTGGAGGGTCGTGGGTTCCCCAGGAGCCTGGACCGATTCAGTCAAGATGCAAGGATGCGATACCGCGTATGTCCCTTTGACGCCCTGGTGCGGGACTTGATCTCATGTCATGCTTTTAACGCTCAGCGTCAAAGGCCCAAAAGAAATTGCTTGTTATAGATGATGATTATATCATTTAAAATAAAAAGTTATTAATAACTTCAAAAATATTGTCAATCGCATCATTATAAATTTGATTATGTCAAACATTCCAACAAATTGCTTGAGATGAAATATGAAAGAATTCTGGAAAATAAAAGCAAGAAATTAAAATAAAATTCCTCATATGTTACCGTTTTAAAACCCTTTCTTGTTTTTTTATTCTTTGGATTGAAAAATAGTCATCCTCACCATCATAGTTATAGATATAATGTAGGAAGGATAAGAAAGGAGTGAAAAACTTTCCTGACTTCTGGATGCTATTGTCCTTGAAAGACAAAGAAATTACAATTGACAAAAGATAATTAATCACAACTTATCACAGGAACATTAATGGAAGCAACAGAATAAGTAAAACAGAAGAGCATCTAGCAATAACTCTTCGCATTTTTTCCCTATCTTTCCACTACATTTCTTGTTAGAATACCTCATGTATGTACCAGCAACTTCATATGCATAAAACTATGGGGAAGATAAAAAACTTATATCTAAGTTTGGAGTTTGTATAAATGAGAATGCTAAGATAGATATCTAGCCAAAATAGAAACGATACATTAAAAAATAATTATATTAGAAAAATATTTGGTGTGATATCTATTAAAGATAAATAAATAATAGACTTTATGAATATTGAACATGTACAAAGATTGCAAAGCAGTGTACCCATTGGATGAGTAGAAAAAATAGTGAAAAGAATTGGGAAGAAGATGGGGTTATGGTAAACCTAAAATGATACCGGAGTTAACCCAAATAATAATAGAAACGCAAATATTATTATCGAAACAGCCAAATAGGCGGTTACAACGAACCACACAATAAATTGAGAAATGCAACAACACAACACAAATTCACACTAGGTTCAATCTGTGAGTGGTGGTGGTCGGCTAGATGGTCGTGGAATGGTGGTAGGTTTTGGAATGGGCAGTGGGGTTACTAGAAAAGGCAGAGGAGTTGGAGCTATGATGGCAGCATGGTATGAAACAGAGGATTGGGACAGTGAGGAGGAGCGAAGAGGAAGGGTTATGGAGTGCAGGACAACAAGAGGAGTGTTGTCCTGTGCAGAGTCGGCGAGGATGAAGGCTGTTTAGAGGTCTGTTGGAAGCAAGGAGGAAGTGGGGTTTCCGAAAAGGCGGCTGCAAGTCAGAAGAGAGAAGTGCGGAGGATGGGAAACGAAGAGGAAGGGTTATGGAGTGCAAGACAATAAGAGGAGTGTTGTCCTGTGCGGAGTCGGCGAGGATGAAGGCTGTTTAGGGATCTGTTGGAAGCAAGGAGGAGGAAGTGGGGTTTCCGGAAAGGCGAGTGCAAGTCAGAAGAGAGAAGTGCGGAGGATGGGAAAATCAAGGATAAATACCACCTCGGGAGTGAGATACAATTTGAGCACCACTCGACCGTTGGAGGAGAATTACCATCCCGAAAGAAAATACAGCCAAAACACCACTGCATTAGGATACAACTTTAGAAGTAAAAACTTAGAGACGCTAACAACTCTCTTGATAGAAAATTCACGAAAAACTAACGCTAGACTCCCACTAAAGCGAATTTATAATAATAGAATAACTGGGAGTGGGCCAAGGAACTGATTGACGCTCCCAAAACAGAAAGGCCTAGACCGGCTCGGTCCAGGCGAGCAAACGGGAGTCTGCGGGATGCGGTAAATCCCGCGTGCGTGAGACACGACTATATGATGAAGTAATATGAATAAAAGTTGCTCAAAATGATTTACGAAGAGAAAACTAAACACTCAATAGAAATAGATGATCAATTCATAAAGCCAAACTCAAATAATTGAGGTAAGGCTAAAAATGATGATACCTCCGGGCCCCAAATTGGTGTAGGCACACCATGTGCATGCAGCACACCAAATAAAAAGAATGGTGGGGCCACTTAATTGTAATTCAGCTAGAAATAATACAATGTCCGCTTTGACAATCTTATTATAGAATATGTGCAAAAAGGGACAAAATATAGTTAAAAGTAACCATACCAGGAGAGCAAAACCACAGGATGCTGTGTTTCTTCCAGGATATTTGAAAATCCAGTTTTTAATGCTTCAGGAATCTGCTATTACAAAGCTGAATTAGCTTCTTTGCAGCAAAGTCTATTTCCAGAGCATCATATAGAGGTCATAAAATTGGAAGGAGTTAAGAACATTTTAAAACGATAGAATTTGCATTTCACATAAACTAAGCAAACCAGGAAAACAGTAAACAAGAGAATAAGCAATTTTTAAAGTAAAATTAAAATAACAAATTGAGTATTTAAAAGACTGGGATCTTAAAAATAAGGCACAAAAACAATTACGAGTGCTGTCTCTCCCTCTCCATAATCAGTTAGAACATGGCCTATCATCAACAAGATCCAGTAAAGCTTTTCCAAAATGCGAGTAGGATCACTTTTCCCAATTATCTGTCAAAACAGGTCAGAAAAAAATCAAAAAGGTTAACTATCAAATATTATGCACTGTAATAAATTCAAAGGATTGATATATTAAATGCTACTTAATTCAGTAATCTAGTACTTGCATTGTAGAAATACATGTTTCGCTTCATTTAACTCTGGTAGGTGCGTAGAAGTAAATCATGTTCTTAGTAGCTAATTTTCAATCTTATATGCTTCACAGCCTGCTACACCTAGGTTTAGCACTTCCAATTAAATCTAGAATTATCCAGGAAAGATCCAGCTTAAATATTGAGGTAAACATATAAAAGCAAGGTTGTGATATAATTGATCCAAACAAAGAGTAAGAGAAAATTTGAGTAATAGTGCTCACTAATACTAGAACAAACCAAAAAAAATCTAGCTAGTTGAAATAGAAGACGTGGAACCTAACTAAATACATGTTTTATATCCTGAAAAAAATTTTCACAAACCCAATCCAAGCCCATTCAAATTTATAAGAACTCCAAATTACATATCAAGATTTTACAGAATTTTATAAAGATATTCTATATCTTTTTCATTAGGTTAAGAATTTGAAGTAAAAATATTTTAGAATATTTTCAATATTACCATTCAAAAATTTTGATTTATGGCTCTATTTCACTTTCACAAAACATCTATCTATAGCTCTTTAACAATATAATCTTTTTTTTTTTTTTTTTTGGTTCTCCAAAGCAAGTCAATTTGCTCTGCACTCAACCTCATTTTATAGTACCCTTTGACATTCATCTATGACTGTTTCTATGCATTGAAAAATCAACACATTATATATAATAAAACATACTTACTGACAGTGCTAATTGATTATCAACTTGCTCAATCCTTCTAGTAATTTCAAACACCCAATGTATCTAGACACAATTTTCCTTCTTGGCAAAATGTAGATATGCCTTTCAAAGGCCAAACCTTTAGCAACACAGACTAATCAACTTTAAATTCAATCATTCAATGCTTTGATTCATATTACTTCTACTATCAATTTTGGGTCGCATTTAACTATTTCTAATGACTAATACAAAAATGCAAATTTAGTGCCCAAACTTTCAGAAAAGCTCTTCCACAATTAGTATGTGAATCTGCCGTCTCTGTTTGATATAATTTAGGAATTCCATAAAGCTTAATAATTTCTCTCACAAATATCTTCACCAAATTTTTTATTAAAATAAGCTGAACGAATTCGTAAAAAGTATGTTAATTTTTACAATGTATATATTATAGTACAAATGTAATCCAGTCCTTGCCTTTATTTAGGAAATCTTGTGAAAAAATTCAAAACAATATTTTCTCATTTATATCTGATTACTGGCAAAGTCTACAACATTCTACAATTCAGCTATATGCTTCTTTATTTTAGCTCGCTAAAATAATATTTTTAAATATTTAAAAATATTGATACTACTGAATAAATCGAATAGCCTGAATAAGAAGATTCATGCAAAATCTTCAAAATCAAATATGATTCTCTCATAAATCCAAAAATAAAAATTACATTTAATCACACCTTTTTCATCTATGCAGAGATCTTACGCCTTGCCAACCTTTATTTGGTCAATCAGCTTTTGACATTTCTTACGATTGAGTATCTTTGATTAATTTATTCAGGAAAAGATGTAAAATTAGTTGGTGTAGACTTGTGACTCTCACCCTTCTGACAGCATTCTAGGGCCTTCTAGAAGGTGTAACTACACAAAAAGCATTACGGAATTTGTGGAATTGATTACGCAACTATGGATGCCGGCTGAAAATCAGTGTGAACGGCGGCAGGACAGCAAACCGGAAGTAGAAAAATGGTGGTTGTCTGCTGCAAACAGCACGTGTCAGAGACTTCAATGGTCGTCCAGCAGGTCTTCACTAATGCAAACTTGAGTCTCACTCCTTACCCATTTAAAACACTAGCTTTGAAAGTGGAGAAAAGCAATGTCACTAGATGAGTGCCATAGATAAATAAATCCTCTTTGCTCCAAACGATGTTTCATTACTTCGCAGCACACATTGTGGCTCCGCAAGGGGCTTCATTACAGTTAGCAAGGGGCGGTTGGTCGTGATCGCAAGCGGCGGTTGGTCGTGATCGAAGGTCGTCGGCGAGCAGTGGTTGATGGTGGTAGGCAATTGCGTGAATGGGAAGCATTTGCCAAGGACTTCGGACCAGAACGACACTAGAATTTAGTTCCTCAGTGAATCAGCTTCAAGTTCATCTCTTCCTTCGGTTCAAGGTCTAGATTCCTCTTCATGAAAGGGGTAAATCTCTATAAGTCTGAGAGTGCCTCCCATAAAATAAGGAAGAAAATAGGGGCACAAAGATAATCCCACGATCGAAGAACATTTTGCGGATATTTAAGTCCAATTAACCACCCAAACCTTCCAAAAGTAGTTTAACGGCTTGATCCGGGCTTGATTTGACCTTCCAATTAACCAACATCTTCTCAAAGTTGCTCGTTCCATTATTTTTCAAGCCAATGTCACAAAACATTTTTCGAATGATATCATATTTACTGTCGCATATCTCATCAATAGAGCCCCCACAAAAATTCACATATTAGTTGGCAATATGGGTGTCCTTTCCTTCCAAAATGGGTACCCCCGACGCGTTGGCGCAGTCCAATTTATCGTCGGAGGTCATTCGGAGAAGTTCGCATTTTCACCCGTCCTTTGGGCTTAATTGAAATCCGATTTCGTGCAAATTCGTGAATTTCGTGTATTTGATGTGTGCATGTGACGAAAAAGGTCGTGACGATGTTTTTCCTGAGGCTTGAAGTCCTATTTGGAACATCTTCCTTGAATCTTTGCAAAATAGCTCATAACCGCTCGTTCATAAAACGATGATCTTGTGCCAAAGATGCTAGACATCAAAGGAAAATAGGAATCGGCTGGAGCTTCTAGAAGGGTGAGTCTCAATTCTAGTTTTCTAAGATGGTCCATAGGGATTTCTAGAGCTAGAACCTAGGCTCTAAGGAGGAGAGGAAAAGACCTCACAAAAATGAGGTCAACACTTTCCTAGAAGGCTGCAGTAATAGATGAGATGGTTGTCCTTTGGCGAAACCATATGTGGGATCAAATCAATGGGTTGTCGATGGATTTTTCAGCACCAAATTTAACTCCAATGAATCCTTTGAACGGGATCCTTTGAACGCAACAAAGTACAGTTGGTCGTCAAAGGCTATTCATAAACCTATAGAGTTGACTATGAGAATATATTTGATCCGGTTGCTAAACTAAACACCATTCGGGTTCTGTTTTCTCATGTCGTAAATTTGGATTGGCTCTTACTTTAACTGGATGTCAAGAATGCTTTTCTTAACGTCGATCTCACAGAGGAGGTGTTAATGCCTCTCCCTCCGGGCTTTGACTATACTTCTCGCGCATAAGATTATCGACTATGAAAGCCTCTACGAATTAAAGCAATCTTCTTGGGCCTGGTTCGACAAGTTTAATTGGAAGTGAGTCATAGGTCTCTCAGGCCCAACTTGATCGTACTTTTTTCTTATGACATTCCTCGTGAGGCCATAGTGTTATCCTCATCGACCATATCGTTGATATTGTGCTCACAGGTAATGATCTGTCGGTCTTGAAGTCTCTTAAGGGCATCCTCGCGTCATCTTTTGAAATGAAGGACTTGAGGTCTCTCTAATATTTCGTAGGCATGGAAGTTGCAAAGTCCGCACAAGATATGTTTATTTCTCAGCAAAAATATATGATGGACCAATTAATTGAGACCAACATTCTTCTTTTGCAAACTAGTGGCTATTGCGATGTATCCCAATGAAAATTTGGTAGATGTTCACAATGTTTGTTTAGCTGAACAAGACATGCTTCCAAAGGCTTGTGAGCAAACTCATTTATCTCGCTCATACGTGCCTTGACATTTATCACGTCATTGGTATTGTAAGTCAGTTCATGCATGACCTCTATGAGCACCATCTCACAGTTGTCTGCCAGATCTTCCACTACTTAAAAGGCACATTGGGCTCAGGTTTGTTGTTCTCTTGCTCTATTGCAGTTTTTACGGAAATTGATTTGGACGAGTCCGTCCATGATCAGCAATCTACCTTGGGTTATTGCTCCTTCATGTGGGGGAAACCTTAGCACTCAGAAAAGCAAAAAACAGTTGGGTGGTTGCCCGTAACAGAGTTGAAGCCGAGTTTTGTTCTATATCCTTAGGAATATGTGAAGCTCTCCGGTTGTGTATCATGCTCCGCAAATTACGTATGCTGGTCCGTTCATCTACAGCTGTCTGTGATAATAAAGCCACTATTATCATTGCTCATAATCCGGTTCAACATGATCACACCAAACATGTGGAGATTAACTATCACTTCATCAAGGAGAAGCTTGATTACAGGGAGATTTATGTTTCATTTGTCTCATCCAATAATCAAATAGCAGTTATCCTCACAAAGAACCTCTTCGGTAGTTGAAAGTTGAGCACGATTGACACTTACGCTTGAACTTGAGGAGTGTTAGAATTACTAGATTTTATTTCCTTTCCTTTCCGGATATTCCTAGTTTATGTATTTCTTTGTTTATATATTTCCTATTTTATAACTCTTGTATCATATATTTTTACCTCTTTGTTATCACGAAGTGTGTGTGTGCGCAAGTGCACCAAAATTCTCATTATAAAAGGTAAAATTTTATTAAAAAAATTCTTTATTCTTTCTATGAGGTTAGAAAATTGAGGTATAAATATTGTCGTAACAAACATTGAATATTATAACTCATCAAATCCTTAAATTCCTTACATGTGACATCAACTAGCATTACCCACCTCCCTCCATCCCTCCCGCCCACCAATCTTTCTTCCTTGTCATTGTTGAGGCTCTATACACTAACGATCGAGATGATGCACCCCACAATTGCACCAGAGTAAAGCTAACCAACAGTAGACAGTGTCCTCTTCCCTCATCTAGCTTAGTTTATGGAATGGAAATGTGGTTGCTTTACTTTGCAATTGTTTTGAGAAGAGAGGTTCACAGGAATTTTAGGTGCGATAGGATGGTGGATGCTTAAGGTAATGTCTTGATCATGATCCGCACTGGCAATAAAGAATATTTCTTTCATCATAAGAAAATGCAAATATAGGAATTTTAGGTGCGAGAAGCTTCTTAATCAATAGGAGAGCAAATAAATCATAAGAAATTGAAACAAGCATAGCTCAACAAGAGCATTACAATTAGGTATGTTTTCAAGGGTAATTAATGTATTCAGGTAAAAATTAATGAAAAATTTATGATAGAGAGCTACGTAAAAGAGAGTAAAAACTTTTGAGATGTAAATCGAGTTTTTGATCTCTGTTTTCTTTTTTTTCTCTTTTCTTGTTTACTAATATGGGCCTATACGGAGCATGGTATGAACCTACGCTATTTTTTCATATGTAACCTGGTCATGAAAAGCAATGTGATGTACATTTTTTTAACAAAAAAACAAACATAGCTCTTGCAATTCATAAGATAACGGTCAAGCATCTCTAACTCTTCTTGATTTAAAGGAAAGTCAAGTTCCTCCACATAGAAGCTTCAGAGCAAAAATTAAGGGCAGCAATTAGATTTCGATGCAAAGACTTGAACATAAAAAACATTCTTATGTTAGGATCACAACAGTAGTATAAGGGCAGCTTTAAAACAAGGTAATGAATGAACCAATACTTCAGTTTTTTTACCATCTAATCATGGTCCAGTCTCAAACAAACCCAAACCGAGTTGGTGTAATTAGAAGCGTGTTGTTATGGTCCATGAATAATTAATTTAACAATTTTCAGACCTTAGATGACAATAACACAATGGAGAACAAAAAATTAAACATTATACTTTATAGAAGACAGTACTATTTATATGACTTTACGTGGGTACACCACCTGATTAAGCTGAGAAGAATGCTGAGAAAACACACGTAACAGAAAAGGAATAGTAATGTCAGCAGCAGCTCGAGCAATAATAGCATATGACTCCAACCTTTCATCTCTTTCTACAATTAAAGAAAAATTATTTGAGCAGCATTTCAAAATGAAATAAAACCGTGATGAGAAAAAAAGACTTGGAAGAACATGAAATCAGCATACTTGAGACAGATGCGACAAAGTGTTCGCCATCATCTTCATCATCATAGGCAGTTGCAGCAGCAGCTGTAATACCAAATCCATCTGGTGAGATTCCAAGACGAACTACCAATATAGGTGAAGCCAGATGAACTTTACAACAAATATATCTTATATTTAAAGTACAACTAAAGTTCAACACTTCCACAAAACTATTGCTATTAAACCACTATTATAATAAACAACACCTTCCAGATAAGACTCCACAATATTGTTGAATAGTTTGGCAGATACGGAAATTCCTTCTGCTGAAATTGAATTCTTATCCCCATCTGATGCCTGCTGAAAGAAGGAGAAGTTTGTAAAATCTATTTTATAATCAAGGAGATAATTATACAAAAAGGGGAAGATAAACATCATCTCGGAATGCCATAATCACATCCTACAAGTAAATAAAATGATCATTGATGAAGTTCCAATGTTGAATCTAGTAAATTCTAACTAAAAAAGAGAATGAGGACGGCATTATAAGGTCCACATGCCTTGGTAGAGATATCAACAGAATGCTCTTCATTAGCAGAATGAGTGATGATATTCATCTTCTTTCGGCAGAACATCTCTAATGAAGCGGCAGTCAACTTCGATGTCTTTGTTTCTTTTATGAAACGATGAATGTTCATCTTCTTTTGGCAGAGCATCTCTTCGATGTCTTTGTTTCTTTTATGAAACGATGAATTGCTAACAATATAGATCATAATTAAATTATCAGAATTTAAAATGACGGGTTGGATGACAAAAAGAACAAAACCCTATAAAGAGTTTTTCTTATACATCTCACAATCAAAGTGATTCACGGCCATTATGCTTCAGCACAGATCTGACAACTACTATTTGCTACTTATTTGTCCAGGTCACAAGATTCTCACCAATAGGAGAAAATATCAAAAAGTTGGCTTCCTATTTTCAACTAGTTGTAAATAACGTTTTTATAGACTTCAATCTTTAAATGAGAGTTTCTATAGTAGACAATCTCTTTTAGGAAATTTCTAGACATCTTTTGAAAGCATCAGAACTGACTCCCAAAGTTTATTCCTTCAACTTTTTCACGTGCTAGCCTACCACACCAATAATAAAAGATATATCATATTTAAACACAATTAGATAGATAAGCTTGCTTCCCAAATGTGGATAACAATAAGCAACTATTGGCTTTATAAGCCTGTGAGGGTATGCAATTTTGTTGAAATCAATTATACTTTAGAAGTCGATCTAATGGCCTATCTCAGTTTTATGTAGATCCATAAGTTAAGCTACCATGACAAACTGGTGTATGTGAAATTGCACATCAGAAATTAAAATATCTTGTATTCCTTCACATGTAAAATAAGCTTAGATGTCATTTCATGTGGCTCAAAACTTATTTGGATCTAGTTAAAAATAGTTATCCGTGTGTGTCTATATTATATATATCTATAAAATAAATTATTTTAAATTTTAGGTTATAACGGTCTTTAAATTGTTTTTAAATGGCAGCTAAAGAACTTGATGGTTTTCAGTTTCAGTGCTATATGAATATTCATTATGGATAGAAAACCTCCGCATGGTAGGTTTGCTAGCACAACTGACCTTCAAGCCATCTCCATTAAGTGAACGAATTTCTGGGCTCAAAATCAAATTGTCAGCAGCCTCCGCGGGCCTGCATTAACCCCAAACAAGCACCTATTAACATACTTTATCATGCAACAACCAATTTAAATTAGTCGTTAGATGATTAATAATTTTCTATATTGAGAGATGTTAACCTATTGAAATTTGAGTTTTAAAGCCTTTAAATGACACTTCTATATATAATATAGCATTTAAAATGATTTAAGCATAACCCAACTTAAATCCAAAACATGTTTCATTTCTCTTACTTGCAAAATCAAGTTTTCAAGAGAAAAGAAAATGCTTGATTTGGATGATCATTTTGCTTCGAAGTTGATGATTTGATTCTTAATAATCTATGCACAATTTGAGCAACATGGATAGTTCTTTACTATTGATTTTTTTCCATGCATGTTCTCCATACTTGGCTCAAAGGCTTAAAGAGAGCGCTCTAGAATTAAGATAAGGGATTTCGGGATTTATTTATTGTGGTTTGCTTGTACCCATACTTTTTATTACTTAGATTTGAAATCAACTTTATTTTTTAATTGTAAAAGTTCTATAAAAATTGAGACTATTCAGATAGATAGGCTCCTTCCTGAATTGCCCCTGCTCAAAAAGGTCCAACATATCAAAAATGAGATTTTTTTTACATGTCCAGAAGATTATATAGAGTTATTCAGATATTAGATTCATTTCAACTGTGTACCCATCATCAAATGTCCAGACCAGAAAGATGAACCAGAGCTTTGCAAATTATCTTAGGAGCTTGATAGGGAGGAAATTTCTTTAGTGAGATCCAACTTTTATCATAGAAGAAGAGGTCTTACTGAGTGGTGGCGACAGAGAGTTGCCCAACATGCCATAGATTTCGCCCCAGCATTAAATCCTTCTAACATACTTGTTTATCAAATATATTCAGTTGGGTACGAGTGCAAGAGATAGTTTAGAGATGGGATGGCTCGAGACCTGATTTGAAAGAATACTAATTTATCAATAGTTCAAACTTAGCTTGTGACAAAAGAGGACGGATAGTTATTCTACCAGAATGTGCTTTGGAATAACAACGTCTAGATGATCAACCTACCAAAGAACTACAACATTTCTGCTACATTCAACGTAGCAGATTTGACTCTATGCTATGAGCAACCAAAAGCTTTGACAGCAATAAATGAAGTCAAAGATCCCCCAACCACGGGAGACTGCTGCGAGGTGCGTCTCCCGCATGGCACTAGTGCACTTCCCGTGCAAGACGCGAGTCAAGGAAGCAAGATTGCATTCCGCACGTGATGATTCCGCGTGACCCAGTATTCCTCTTGAACTGAATTGGTCAAGGTTTTCTCTCTTTTGAGGAATCAGTCGGTCCTCTTGAGCCACTCTGAGTTATCCTTACATTATATATTTATATTTCTGATGTTTTTGGGTTAATTTTTAGCATGAGTTTGTTTAGGACAGCCACCGACGTCTGTTTCTCCCATCGTGGGTTGTATCCAATGAATTGGGAGGTGTTTTGGTTGTGTCTCATCGCCTTCAACCTTTTTGCAGACCGCTCCAACAACAGTCTTTTTGATGTTTTTCTACAGTTTCCTCACTGTCTAGCTCTCTTACTCATTGCCCCTGCCCAAGGCCACCTTCCTTTGACAGTATGGCCGCCCACCACATCCTTCACCTTTTTGCAGACCGCTCCAACAATAGTCATTTTGATGTTTTTCTATAGTTTCCTCATTGTCTAGCTCTCTTCCTCACTGCCCCTACCCAGGACCGCCTTCCTTTGACAGTATGGCCGCCCACCACATCCTTGCATCACATTTCCCGCCCTCCACTGCATCACATTTCCAGCCCTCCATTGAGCTTTTTATCAGCTCCAGGTAGCCACCAACCTTGCTGCCATTCTTCTAGCAGCCCACACATCCCTCCTCATAACATGCCGCCCATTCCAAGCCTCCCCCACCGACTGGTCAGCTGCCAGCCATTCCTCATGGCAGTCGATGTCGTTTCCTCTTTTCCCCTCACAGCTATCAACACGTATAGCCCTCACGAATCATGCCCCGGCTATCTACTTTTTGTCCGGTCCCGAGGAAACCACTGTCCTATGTTGCATGGACAAAAACACGGGGAAACGGATAAG